GGGCCCTGCTGGCTGGTGTCTGGCCTCCAGGTGGGGGCTGACTGCGCAGTGGGCTTCCTGGGCCAGCTCAGAGGTGGCAGCAGGCCCTGAGGCCACTGCACCCCCTGCCCTGTGGAGCACCTGGGGCTGCAAATTAACAAGCAGCTGTGGGCTGGCTGGGGTGGGGGGCTGCTCTGTCCTCCTCATCTGCAGCTGCTGCTGCCACCACTGCCCCGTGCTGCGCCACTGGGGAGAGAGGGGAGTGGGAAACTTTTGCCCTGTGTGGAGCTCCAGCTGCAGCCCCCGGATGGCCTTGAAAGGTGGTAGGTGCCTGGGTGGAAGACTTCAGTTCGGGGGCTGCAGCCAGAGCTCTGGGCATGGGGCACAAGCTTCAGGGCTGAAGCTCCCCCTGCTGCCTCCTGGAGTGGCTCAGGAGTGGCAGGAATGGGAGGGAGAGTCATCATGGCAGGTGGGAGGAAGCCAACTTGGCCTGGCAGGGCTTTCTCCCCTTGCCTCCAGCTGTGGCTCCTGCCACACCCCACAGCACTGCTCAGGGCTGGGAAAACTCCCTTCAGTCCAGCAGAGCCCAGAACCTGGCAGCTGCCCACTGAGGGGGCTGGCTGCAGCTCCATGAACCTGTGCAATGCCTCTGAGCCAGCCTGGCTAGCAGCTGCCAGCCATGTCCCTGTTACTGAGCTGGAGCTGCCAGGGGTGGCCCTGGCCCTCTGGCCTGTCCTGGCCATATTGTGTGGCTTCCTCAGCCATGGCTGAGTGAAGCTGGTCTGGGCTGTGGGGGTGGGACCACCCTGGCAGCTGTGGCTCCATTACAGCTGCTTCCCATGCCCTGGCTGGGCCGGGTTGGGAAGTACTATACTACACAGAGCCCCCTGCCCCTCCCTCACCACGGGGTAAGAAGGGGCACTCTGTTCAATGCTGGGGAGTACTCTTCCCCTTCCTCCCTTGCCCCAACCCCCATGAGGCGGGGATGGAGGGGTCCTCTGTGTGGCGCTCCCTGGCCTGGCCCAGCTCAGCTGGGGCATGGGGAGCAGCTCTGTAGAGCTGCTACTGGGGATGGCCCACCCCTGCAGTCTGGACCAGCCTCACTTAGCCCAGGCCAAGGCAGCCACACTGTCTGGCCAGGCCGGACCATGGGGCTGGGTCCACCCCTGGAGCTGTGGTTCCATCATGGCTACTCCCTGGGCCCTGGCTGAGCTGACATGTCTGTCCCTAGCCTAGGTGGAATAAAATCTGGTTCCTGTGATATATGTATATATGAGAATTTAAAGCTACTTTCTGTTGAATCTGTTAGTAGCAATGAATGCACAGCTTAACTTTATGTTCACAGTATGTTCCATGCTTGCCAGACTAGCAGCACTCTTAACTACACTCGTGGCTGGAATAATTTATTTCTGAATGGGTTTCAACCTTTTCGGATTGAAGGCAACTCTCAGCAAATGTCAGCCTTTAGTTGTCTCTTGATTTTTTTATTTTTTTATTTTTTGCCTATAGAAAAATAAATAAATTCTTCAGTTGTAAAGAACTTAGACCACAACAGGTCAGACTTTTTTTTAACACTTGAAATCGCTGAGTTTATCTTGTGAATAAACCCAGGGTATCACGGCACCCTGGATGAGAATCACTGTCTTGGACAAACACAACAGCCCTGTATCTGCAGAAGATGCAAGCTTGTACCTACTCAATGGTTGTGAAATAGCCCAAAAGAATTCTCCTGTGAAGCACGGCTGCATGAATTTGTCCCTCACAATGATCTGTGAGAGCTCCTCTTTGTAGGCAAGCATCTCCTTGCACGGCACTGAAGACATGACTGGCATTTTGTGTTGCAACTTCAGGATCTTGATCTTTATGTGGCACTGATTCCAGGTCCAGCCATGTCAACAAGCTGGCATTTCAACAGTGTTGTGCTCTCTCAAAGGCTGCTCTGTCAAAGACAGCCTGGCTGCAGTGCCTTGTCCTGAGCACCTGCTAGGTTTCCTTATCACCCCAAATGGAAAGTAAGTCAGCACCCCGTCCTGAATCCAGGTCATGCTGAGCAGTAAGTAGGTGAGCAAGGCCCCATGTGACCCCTATCTCTAGAGCGGTAGAGCGAAAGGGAAATGAAAGTAGTCCATACCCCCCCCCCCCCCCCCCCGTTTCTTTCCCATTCCACAACACACAGCTCCCCCCCCCCCCCCCCCGCCCTGTTTATTCTCAGAATGCAACATAATTAGTAGAAGTAAGTCTTCTCCCAGTAAACACTGTGTCACTGAGCCTCAACACCGAAAGAGGCCTTGTCTTCACTGCTAAAAAAGTGGGTTTCATTTCACTAATGCACATGAACTAGCCCACGGGGAAAAATTCAGTGAAAACAGGATGCTTCAGTTTTACTATAAGGTAAACTAGGCAAGATGAATATCATGCTTCTGCCTGAGGATGGCCTCATATCATTTATCTTGCTATAAAAATGAAGCGTTTTGCCTTCACTGTTTTTACCTTGGGAGATCATATTTGTTAGGTTCTTAGAGGTAAAAATCATACCTTTTCTCAGCAGGGAAATAAAGGCCTTAAAAGACCACTTAAGAGACTGAAGTGGTTGAATGGCTCATTTATTTCTGACTTCAGTGCTCTGACTCTTCACAAAGGAAGCCACCTGTCAGCATCGTATTTATACTGTGGACTCAGTTGGGCCCCTGTATATTAATATTAATCATCCTTAATCTATAATTTTGCTTCAGTGAAATAACTGTGCTGCTCAGGAGTTATGGGTTTTTTTTGTGGATATATGCATGCTTATAAAACACTTATTGGATTTAAGGTCCATTACAGCTCTTGCTTCAGGTGTATATGGACCTATTTAATTCACGGATTTTGTGAAAACCACGAAATCTGGGATTGTCTGTGAAATCAACAAAAAAACTTAATAAAAATAAAATGCTGGCTCCCTAGCGGAAGTCAGCAGTCCTCACTGCTGGGAGGGGAAGTTGCCAGCTGGTGGAGTCATATAAGGACTGCAGATAAGATGGTGACTGCTCCCTTGTCCTTCCCCCACCCACCAGGGCCGCTCTGCCTATCAGCACTGAGGGGTGAGGTGGTGCAAATGGAAGCCAACAATAAAGGTGGCAGCCACCCCTTCATCCCTTCTCCCCATGGGACCTCATTGTCAATGAGTGCTGAGGGGCAGGGCTGCTACAAAGTGAAATAGGCACTGCGTGCTGCAAACAGGCTGCAAAACCCCGCCTTTGTCTTGCTGCCATATAAGTAGGTCCTTATATATGGGAAATTTGCCAGTTCTTTGTACTGAAAGAATGAAGTAATTGAGACCGCATTACCTTGAGAGAAAGTTCCAGCTTCCTTCTCAGCTCATTACTGATTGGCTCATACTGAATCAGCTGACGGACTTGCAGCACATTAGGGCATTTTTGTACAGACGTTGGAGGGCAGGCAGACTCTTTGGATCCTATGTGCAGTCCTTTCCAAATATGGGTGCCAAATGGAGGACCTGGAATTTTCCTCTGAATACAATCAACAACCAAAGAGAGATGATTACTGTACTGACTTTGAAAAGTCTCATGAAATCAGAAAGCAAAGGGGCAGGTGTGTGCATGCAGAGGTGGATTAAGGTGTATTGGGACCATGGGGAAACACAAAATTGGAGGCCCCCACCCCACATGGGAGCTGGACTGTAGCGGGGGAGGGGCCCCTTCCCCTCCTGGTGCTGGCTGGGGAGGCTGGGTGGACCCTGCTGGGCTGGGGGTAGGGGGGCACATGCCAGCCTCTTCTCCCTCCTCCCTGCCCTGCCCCCCTGCTCCCCTGCCATGGCCACAAGTACACACATGCATGCACAGACACAGGTGCTCTACTCTCACTTACTCTCTGCACATGGACAGACACAAACACACTCTTCCTGCCATGAACACAGACAGGCAGACACGCTCCCCTCCACCCCCCAGACACGCACTTTCCCTTCACAGGACCTCCCTCCCTCCCCCAGACTTGATTACTCTGAGGCAGTCCCCCTCCCTCTCCCCCTGTTCCCCCATGACCAACCTATGGTCTGTCTAGCTCCCCACCCTTGCCCCTATTAGACTTACCTGCAGGGAACTACTGCCTGTGTGCGTGTGTGTGTGTGTATGTTCATCCCCTCATGCAAAAAGCCTACTATTTATAGATTTGAAATTATACCTTAAACCTAAATATATTCAGAAGCTGAACGCAAAGTTGTTTCCTACCGTGAGATCTATAGTTTTACCAAGTGCCTAGGCTGTTTTTATGTTGAAAGGCAGAGATGTGTCCTGATCCAAGAAGTTTGAAGCCAAATACTGACAGCCCATAAATTCACTAGTGTCAGCATCCCACATTTTTCACTTAAAAATATGGGAATTACTATAAACATTTAGATCCTGATTTGATTTTGCTAAAATTTTAACCAGAAGAATTAATGTACAATGTATTCCGAGGTGGCACTTTTTACACTTGCTTGTGTAATCCGTTTTTTCTAAAGAGGATACTTTCTTCATGGTGCTGAGGAGAATGCATGATTTTGAAGCATGGGCTTTTGTAAGATCAGAGTTTTATTTTTTGGTGTGGTATGGACTCACCATGTGACCTAAACTCACTAATCTTTGTCTTCCATTTTCCAACTGGAATTTAGGAGTAATACTTAACTACTTTACACAGATGTTTGACTGATTCAAGTTTCTAAAGTGCTTGGAAATTCTTCAGTTGAATCTGACAGTGATGTGATCCAGGAGGTCAGACTAAATGCTCATAATGTTGCCTTCAAGATTTATATAACAGATGAATCTCTAAGTGATAAGCACAAGTAATAACTATGAAAATTAATAAAGGAACATCAAACAGCAATATAGCCTTCTGAAACACTTGTACCTCAAAAGGAGGAAATGTATCCCAGTTTCTTGACTGTAGGTTTGGAGGAACAATACTGGTGGATTCTTTCTTCATTAACCAGACAGAGGCTTCAGTCAAAGGTCGGAGGACAGTGACACTAAGAACACCTGCTTCAAAAAAACATTTAAGTAAAAACCATTTGCATTAAAAACTGGTGAACAAGTGTTTTGCAATATTTTGGAATCCTCTGATGAAAACGCTGATGCAAATGTAAAGCAGCTAATTCTCACTTTTTATACAGCTGAGAATGTGATACCACTGTTATCATCTAGGGCTATCCAACTTCTAGGGGGCTGCACACCCTGCAAACTGCACCACTGGGGGCCTCTTGCCCTGGACAATACCAGTGGAGGCCACACACAGGCTGCAGCAGAGGCCCCCTGGGCAGCAGACCACATGGTTACAACCTGCTACACCCCACATCCACGTGGGCAGCTCCCTGCTCTCTATAGCCATACTGCTGTACTATGTGCCCACACAGCCCCAGTGTCGCTTTCTGCTTCCCATAATGCAGTACACCCCCCTCAGGTTGGGGCAGGCAGAAGAAGCCAAAGGAGGGAGGGGGAGCCCAGAGACTGGTTGCTGCTACAGCTGGTGGGATGAGGTCTGCAACTTAACCCCTCATGGGCTGCATATGGCTTCCAGGCTGCCAACTAGACAGCCCTGTTATAGACAGTAAGGGATCATAATGGGACTGTGAGAGAGACAACATTGGATTAGACTTTCCCAAATTTTGCCCAACCAAAGACTGCATTTGCAAGTTGCCAGGCATTTCAATTTGCTCTGTTGTGGAGTGCAAATAAATTGCCTCATCTTGAGGAAGGAGGTGTAGTCATGCAATCCAACACAAGTTAAACTGTTTTGAGCAGCTTGTTGGAGGCCTGGGGTTACAATTCCAGCTTCAAGGATAATTGAGCACACTTGTGTCCTGTATTTAATCAGATTTTAAATATTACTGTCAAATCACAGTGTCAATATGATTTGAGATGCATTAATTATCTGTACTTGTTCCTCTAATTCATTTTACCTTTCGTAAAAACTATAAGTATTTTAAGTATCAAATTTTCAAGAGCAGGCTTTTAGATCTTTTTGGAAAATCTTTCCAATCAAACTGAAATTAGGAATTTGCATTGGTCCCTGATGTTTTGGATCATCAATCTGGCCTACCTTCTTAAGGATGTGGGTTGCCAGGATCTACAGAGTTAGCACTAGCTTCCAATAGCTTTCCAGCACAATTCAAGGTGCTGGCTTTGACCTATCAGACCCTAAATGGTCTGGGCTCTACATACCCTAAGGAACTCCTTGGTTCCATTACAAACTCTAAGGTCAGACACAAGTAACCTCCTGTAGATGCCATCTGTGAGCCAAGGTTGTTTGATAAGAACAAATGAGAGGTTTTTTTCTTGGTAGTCTTAGCTCTAGAATTTCTTCTCCCTGTGGTCTGTCAGAGCCCAAGTCTAGACATCTTCCAAAAAGTATTGTGTGATCTTTTTATTTGAGCAAGCCTGCAGAAGGCAGGATTAAGTTCTGTCTGGGAAGTTTTTTCTATTACATATTATTTTATTTCAATATTTATATGTCTTTATAATTGGGATAACTCTTAGACAAGCTTAGACCTGAGGAAAGGCACCCAATGCCCAAGATCTCATCTAACAGCTCTCCCAACTTGTCAGGTTTGTGGCTTTGAACCTAGGACCTCAGCCTGCCTGGCACAAAGACTCATCCTGGTCTGACATCTCCTCAACAGAACACTGGGGTGGACACACATGGCTAGAACCCTCCAGCTTGGCTTAGCTACATGCCCACTCCCTGCCACCAAAGTGGTCAGCCAGGGTCAGTAGACCCCTCACCCCTTCCAATAGAAACTTCTGACCTGGAAGAGGAAGTGTCTGGACAACAGAGTTTAAAATTGTATCTAGGCTGCTGCACCCTCGGCTTGTGCCACTACTGACTGGTGAATTCCTTGGATGCCTGACCTGGCTAGTCTCCTCACCATCGTGGCTGCGTGGCATATTTGGAATCTGAGCACAGTGAATAAATTCAGTATAATTTTTCCTGTCCACATAAGAGTTTTGAGCATTCTGGTCTCACTAATGTAATAATCTTTGTATTAAGTTGACAAAAAGGGAATGGAATATCCTCACCTGGACATTCTTGTACTGGCTCTTGCAAAACTGCTGTAGCTGGATCACCATATGCCTCAGACAGGTATTCTTCCACATAACTGTTCTGAAGAATTTCAATCCCTGAACCATCGGCATAGACAATGAAGAACCTAAGCAACCACCCGTACAAAGCTGATCAGTTCAAGGTTATATTAAAATTATATTATTTTCTAAATAGTCAATAAGAAAAAACATGATAATGACATAATGAGAGATTTCAAAACGGTGGCATCAAGTGCATGAAAATTGACTAATAAAAAAGAAAAAATAAGCCTATCGACTACATTCATTTTACCTAGGGACATGTTCCCTGGATGTGGTAGAAGTGTCACGTTCTGTGGCTTCTGCTGCCAAACATTTTTCTTCTTCACCAGAGTCAATTTTGGGGATGAATACAGATGTGCTTCCATCAGCCATGACCTAAATTTGAAGTGCAAAAAATGACTGAAACTATTGCATCTAGTAACCTGCTACTAAGCACTCAAGTGAGCTGGCACCATCACGGAAGCAGTCTGCTCACATTTCATGTGAGGCAGCTAAATGGGCATAGTAACAGAAGATGAGTGGCAGAGTCCTGCCACGCCAGGAATTCTAACTCTCTGCTGCCAAACAGACTACAACTCAGATACATAAAAGTAGACATATGGGGGCATGTTTAAGGGAGAAGTGTTTGATCTGTATTTTCAAAATATGCATCTGTACCTGCCAGCAGGTACCTGCATACAAAATAGACAACTGTTGGCCAAACCAGGTAATTTCCCACTCAGACAGGTACAGATAGGCAAATTCAAATATTCTGTGGGCCCATTTTAGGCAGCTATTTCAGAATGCATGGTCCTTGACAATCCCACATGAATAGTAAAGAAGCCAGAGGATGGTATGTATGCAAACAAGCCAGTCAGTGACAATGTAAATTAAGGAGTCAGTGGGTGAGAAACCAGCTGGGGAAGGGGAATGAATGTAGCTGGTAAATAGTGGAGAGGTACCTGGGGTATCAGATGTTAGGCAGGTTATAATGTGACATAAATCCAATGTCTATATTTAGTTCATGATTTTTTGTATCTAAGAGGTTGATGAAGTGAAGTTCATAGGCTCGTCTATGAACAAGTTTTGTAAATTCCCTTTGAGTTTTGTAAATTCCCTTTGAGTAGAGGTGCATCGATACATCAGTCCGATATCAGATTGGCACCGATATAAAGAAAATTGTTTGTATTGGAAATCAGCCAGATATGGCCAATAATCTGGCTGATAAATGGCCCATGCATACACGCAGCTGCAGCACAGCACGTAGGCAGCAAGGACCACAGCTGGGCAGCTTGGAGAGCTGCGTGCAGCTGGTAAGTCTGGTGTGTTGGAAGGGGAGGGGGAAGGGAAGGGAAGGGGCATGGAGGGGAAGATCAAAGCCCACACGGTGAGGGAGGAGTGGGGCTGGAGCTGGGCCAGGGGCTAGGTCAAGCGCTGCCCAGATGGGGTGGGGTAGGTGTGGGACTGAGCTGCTGCTCATTGGGGGGCATGGGGAGAGGGGGTGGCTCCCGCTGTTGTGCACTACCTGTCCAGGAACTGCTTGTCTGGTGGCTCATCTCACTTATCTGGCAGCTCCCGCCCCTCATTTGGGAGGGCATGTGGCAGATGGGAGGCATGTGCCCCCGGATCTGTGCAAGGCGAGGTGGGGTGGTGGGGAGGGCTGGGGCTGCGCCAAGCTCTTTCCAGTGGGGCGGGGCTGGGCTTGGGGCAGATGGTAGTAAGTGCTGGGATGGGGGGAAGTGGAGGAGGGCTGTAGCCACCCCAAAATTCACCATAGCCCCCCCAACATCCCTGTTCCAGTGCTGCTGCTGCCCACCTCGAGCCCCGTCCCCCACCACCGCCAGGAAGAGCTTGGCACAGCCCCGGCCCCAGCCTGCCCTGCTCCACACAGATCTGGGGGCACATGCTTCCCTCATGCCCTCCCGGATGAGCAGTGGGAGCCCTCAGATGAGTGAGCAAGTGCCGGACAAGCATCTCCCAGATGAGTGGCATGCAATGGTGGGAGCCACCCCTCCCCACTTCCTGTGCCCCCTGGATGAGCCATGACTCTGTCCTGCATCTGCCCTGCCGCAGCTGGGCAGCACTTGACCCAGCTCCTGCCCCAGCCCCACTCCTTCCTCACTGTGGGGGCCTTGATCTGCCCACCTCATTTTTTTTGTTTCCCCCTCCCCTTCCACCACACCAGACTTACCAGCTGCACACAGCTCTCCAAGCTGCCAGGCTGGTATTGGATATCGGATTGGTATTGGTTGATATACCTCCTTAAAAAGCAGCTATCAGCATCGGCCCCAAAAATCTCTATCAGTGCATCCTTACCTTTGACAATTAGAACTGAGATTGGAGAGAGTGTGGTTTTCGTGTGAGAAATGTGTCCCCACAGGTAATTGGATAGTCTCATCTTTGATAAATTTCCAGTGTGCATTCATTCTGGTGCACAGTTGTTGTTTGGTCTCTCCTATGTATTTTCCATCAGGGCATTTGGTGCATTGCATGACATATATTACATTTCTGGAGCTGCAGCTTTAAGATCCAGAAATGCTGATGGTTCTGTTTTGGGGTGTAGTAATTGTGGGGGTTGTGGAGATATGCTGGCAGGTTTTACATTTCTTGTCATGGCAGTCTGGATCCATTGTTTTGGGTTGTAGGAAGTTTGCTTCTGGTGATGAGGTTAGTGAGGTTCGGTGCTTGTTTGAAGGCTAGGATGGGTGGTTCTGGGAAGATCTCCTTAAGAATTGGGCCTTCTAGTATGGGTTGCAATTGTTTGAGGATTATCCATATAGATTTTAGGGAGGGGTGATATGTCACAACCAGTGCTGTGCGATTCATGGGGATTTTCCTTCTATACTGCAGCAATTCTTCACATGATATCCAGGTGGCTCTTTCAAAAGTGCAATCTATCTCTCTGGAGGAGTGTCCTTGTTGAGTGAAAGCCATTTTGAGATTTGTGAGGTGGCAATCACGGGTGTTCTCCTCAGTGCAAATTCGGTGGTATCTGATGGCCCTCCGTACTAGGTTGGTCAAATGATGCCCAAAGAGGCTCTTTCTAGTTCTAGTCAGAGGGATCCCATCTCTTGATAATAGTCCTCCTCCACAAAACATCTGTCCATTGTCAAATAATCCAAGTCTTCACATCAACACCATTGTCTCAGCCACACATTTACTTCCCTGATATGTGTCATATTGAATGAAATAGTTTGAATGTTTGTAAAGGTTGCCCATTAGCCAGTTTCAGGAAGAAGATAGGATTTATCTCCTTATCTAGTTCATTGTTTTGGGACTACATGAAAAATGTCCTGACTTCACTTAAAGCCTTAATTTAAATTGTATCTTTAGAAGTCTTTTACAAAGAAAGCAAATATCCTGAGTTCCGAGACATCAAAGCCTAAGGCCTTTTAACCAGACTGGTAAAAAAAATGGTATTTACAGTGATATGGAAGAAGTCTCCCCAAGAGTAATTTAAAATGCTCAACAAAGGTAATTTCTGTTGAGTAAGATCCGAGCCCAAATTTGGGAGTTGTGACAAATTGAGTAGGAGGAGCCCACTGACGGCAGCTCACTCAATAAAAACTGTAACTTACTGTCCCAATTTGGAGGTGACTTCACTTGCAGAACAACGAAGGAAGAATCGCAAGTGTAGCCCGGATTAGATTGATCACCTAACCCAACCTCTCCGTGAACACGAATCTCTTAGTTCACGCTGAAGCTGCGGAGCACCCGAAAGGGACTGAAGGAAGGGGACTTAGTCCTATCACTGCTGAGCCCAGCTTATTGAATTGTATTGCTGAGGCGAGCCCATTGAACCGTACTACTGAGGCCAACCCATTAAATCGTACCACTGAGGAATGAAACCATATCTGGGTGTTTGGCTTGTCGGAATTCTAGGATTGTAAGTATATTATGAAAAATAATAGTATTGATTCAAATTTAACTTTAATTGTAATTGTAGTTGTTTTTGTAACACTAATTCTTATGGCATTGTTTGGGAAGGAAGTGCATTCGGAGCATTGTTTCTGATATATGTAATTATTGTGTTTTTAATGTTTGTGGTGTTTCTTAAAGCTAAGCAGTGTTATATACGTAGCAAAGAGTTTAAAAATAAAATTGTGTTGTATAAATTAAGTGTGTAATCATTGTGAAATCGTGCAATCAGCTAACTACTCCCCCAGCCAGTGCATCAAAACGAATCAGTAAATTGTGTGGGATTTTCTCTATTCCATAACCCACTAGAGACAATGTGGTGGTTCCTGTTCAGGACCTTTCCTCCTACAGGGAGGACTGCTGAGAACAGTCCTCAGTGAGGAACTAGGAAACTAAGAACAAGGCATCAGAACCTCAGACCAGACAAAGAGGCGTCTTCCCAGTTGAGTAGTCTGCTCAGCACTAAAACACTGCTGCTTATAAGCAACCAGCTAGGCCCACTCAGGAACCTGGGTCAGCTTGGGCAATTTAGTCTGCTTCTGCCCTGACTCCTGACACTTAGAAAAGAACAGAATAGATTAAACTGAATGTAAATGCAGGGGTTTGGGACTGACTGGATTTCAGCTGTCTGATTTTAGGTATGACTATGTGAAGAAGTTGCTGTGAGGTAAGACAGGGTATGAACTTGCGGCGTGTTGCCTACTTTGAGGTTACTGCTTGTGTGCATGTTCAGTGAAAATGAGGTGAACTACTGTACATTTCCCACAGAGTAAGAGTATATGCATGGGTAGTTACCTCAGATGAACTTGTTAGTGTATCCAGGCCCTCTGAGTGGGTAAAAAAAACAAACCCTGAGTGTTGGGGTAGCTTGTCATATTTTATGTTTTAAAGTTGCACTAGTTTATAGAGTAGTGAATTAGAGTATTGTTTTAAGTTTTCTTTTGTATTCAGCTTAAATTTCTGTATAGTCTCATTGTTAACTGAACTTTGAATTTTGCTGGTGTTTGCAATATCAGCTGGCTTTGCCTGTTGCAAGCAACTTATGGCCTTGAGTTTACTTGCATGGTGTCTTTTCTATTCTATCACTTTGAGAAGTTTTTCTAACACAACATAGTGATAGTTTTGTGACTAGCTCAAAGTAACTGAATGTGGCACTAACCAGCTCAATCAGAGGAATGAAATGATTGGATATGTTAAGGAAAGGTGATAAAGGAGACCAATGGACAATGCCCAAAGTAAGACAGTGGAAAAAGGTCAAATTAAGAGGTGTGCTCGTGATGGGTCTGTTGAACAAAGGAATATGCTGACAGGATAAATTATGGACAATATGCTGACTGCAGAGAGAAAGCAAGGAGTCATCAAAGGAGTCAAGTTAAAGAAAAGCATAAAAGAGGGAGCAAGAA